AGGCTAAGGGAATCATATCTTCATTCATCGCCAAGTTTGATATCTACAAGTCAAACATTGGTCGCAAAGAGCTAATGCAATTTCCAACTCTTAAAAAGTGTTCAATGGCAGATATCGAGATTCTCGAAAATAAAATCTTAATTTTTGCTGATCACCCTGATCAGTTATGGAATCAAGATTTAAAGATTTGATGAAATTCGAAATTCCGGATTGGATTTTCGATCCTTTCTCTTTTGAAGTTATGGATAAGCTCACTTCCTCTTTGTAGACAGAGTTTTTAGATTTGAAGTATGACTGTGAGGCTTAAGTCGTCTTTAAAAAATACGGTTACGAGTTAGCTTGGGTAAAGCTTATGGACACTTTCACTTATCCAAAATTGTGGAAACAAACTGAGCCGCTTCTCATCTCGTTCCCGTCAACATATTTAGTGGAGAGAGGATTTAATTCTGTCTTCCAGCTGCTCACAAAGCAAGGAGATCGGTTGGACATTTGCTTCATAGGAGACCCGCGTTTAAATCTGACGAGCATAAAACCTGACATTCAAGATTTAACTTGAAATACACCAAGCACAGGGCAGTCATTGAAGTGGTAAAATTGTACTTTCTCCCTCTTCATTTTTTTTCTCAATTTTTAGTTGTTAACGTTTTAACTTTTTCTTGATTACATTAAAATATGAATTTAAAAAAATGTACTTTTGTTTTGATTATTCCGTTTTAAATATAATTTCTTTTTGAAAAAAAAAAAAGATGCACAATTTTTTTTTAATTAATAAAAACGACAGGATAAATTTGCCTCCCTATTTGCATTACAATTTAAATTAAAATCAAATAACATAGCATATTTTCAGTGTTAGGTTGCTCACAAGCAACAATGAATGGTTTGTTGAGCAAAAAGAGAAAGGGGCGATATGTGTCAGTCAACCCCAAGAGGGGGGCGATGGTCCACAAAAGATTGGGAACCACTGGTTTAAATCATCCAAAATATTAGGGGGAATTATTAAATCACAATAAAGATTTTTACTGTTATGGGATTTCTACAAAATCCTGGAAGCGCTAATTTTATTCTTGAAAGTTCAGCTTGTACTTCATTTCCGAAAACACAAGTTAATTGATCAGTTCCGACACTTTTTGTTTCGGAGGGAATTAAGTGATCTCGGACGCATATAATGTTGGCTCCAGAATCTACTAACGATTCAACTAGTTGATCATTAACGAAAATTTTTTCATATTGTAATTGATGCTTAGATTCATTAAATATTTTAGCTTCGACTTTGCAAACATGGTCTCAATTTGTGTTAAATCTACGATTTGAATTAGTTTCGTTTCTGTGAAAGCTTTCACGCGGATTATTTCGTGGTTGGTAATCTGTAGAATTTCTCTCATGTGAATTACGATTAAAGCTTTGAAATGAGATATTTTTTTTATTGTTGTCGAACGGTTGTTGACGGTAGTGTTTTATTTTGGCAAAAGATTTCCGTTTCGAAACAAAATATACATCACATTCTTTCGCGAATTCAGTTGGTTTAAACCAAGTTCCGTTTTAGCGTATAACAATATGTTGTTGCGTTTCACTATCGAGGGTAGCAAACAATTTATCGGCTATCATTAATTCGCACAAGCTTTTAAAATCATTAACGTTACGAAGGTTGCAATAGTATTCAAAAGCGTTTGTCAATCTTGATGAAAATTGTACGTGTGATTCATTAAGTAATCGTTGAGCTCTTCGGAAATTGATCAAGCATTCCTGGGCCGTTGGCTGAAATTCTCGTAATATAATATTTTTAACTTTTTCGTAATCTTGGAGTTCGGTCTCCGAAATGTAAAGTAAAATACTATTCGCTTTTTCACCTAGAATATTAATTAATATTTCCGATTTGAATTCTGGCAGAACATTTTTGGTTGTAAACGCGCGTTCTAAAGAATGAAAGAATAAGTTAAAATTTTCGAGTTTAGTAGGAATCTGCATACTAAGTGTTTTAACTGATTTAATTTAGACTTTCGAGGTATAAAGATGATGTTCTAATTATCGCGTTTGTGTTTTCAGAATTATTTTGATTTGAGCCGGAGTTAATTGATGCTAATTCGATTTCTTTTTCGATTTGGGCTAACATTAGTTTTTCTTTTACGCATTGTTGTTCTGCTTCTTTTCTTTCTTCGACGATTAAATAAATCATGTCTTTACAAAAAAAATTTATATATATATATATATACTGATTATGTTGATCGAAANTTAAACAAAAATTTGACAAAAAAAAAGTGCGATATATATATATATATATATATTTGGATCTCATTTTACACAATTTCTTATCTAAGAAAAAGGAAATTTTACGAATAATTATTTTATATACCCACTTGTCAATACGAAATAATAAGAAATAATTATATATTTTTATTTATACTTTTTTTGTTCTGACACGCGTATATTGTCGAAATATGTAAAAGTTGCATTTTTGAAACCTTTAATGAATAGTTTTTCGTTAAAAAAATTCTAAATAATAATTGATCGCGAATAGACTTAATTATAACACTAAATTAAAATGAAATTTTATTCGATTGTACTTCAAATTAATTCTACCCTTACCTATTACTTAATTTCATATAACTAAGAGAGCTTTTTACTCCCTTTTTGGTATATTTTTTCCATGACATCATATTCTCTTGCGTCTTCAACTGATTGACCAGTGACCACTCTATAGGACATATGAAGGATAAGCTGAAAATGTAAAAAAAATGTATAAAACAATAGCAAGCTTAAAGGAAACAGTATATAAAACATGATAAAAAAATATTTTAACATCTTTTTTTAACAAATTATTGTCCTAGAGTTCTTATAATTATTGTTTATACATATAAGCGTAAACTCTTTGACATATATGAGACACAGGTGTCCATTTTATATATTTTTTTGGACTCTCTAATTCTAAGTAAAAATATATTTTGGTACTTTTTAACTATAAAAAACGGTCAAATAGTCACTAAAAAATTTTTAGATTATCGGAAATAGATTTGTACTAAAATATAAAATCCAAAAAAAATAGTTCGATTTTTTTTTACTCGATTCATCGATCACTCGATTTTATCGATTCATAATTTTCATATTTTTTCATCAATATATCAATAATTGATTTTGTAAATTAAAGAAATTTCAGGATGACTTAATGTTTCTCTCATATACAAATAAGTGCAAATTTGAAAAATTTTCTTTTAGAAGTAAGCCGTCAGCTCATATTAGCAAAGGGACATATGTGTATTTATCTGCTAAAATCAATCCTTATTTCGTAACCATAAATTAATAAAATTCCAACTACTATATTTTGATCTAAATTAATACTAAAAAATGGAGAAAAATATAAAAAATTATTTAATGAAAATTCTTTGTAAAAGGATTAACAAAGACACTTAAAAATTATGCCAGCTAATAGTTTGAACTCTATATTACGTATTAACTTGTGGTATAGAATGAAAAAAAATTAAAGCAGGAGAATCTATTAGACAGTGTGTTTATTATTAGGGTTCTATGACTGTAATTAATGACCAAAATCACACAGAAGAAATGACATAGAACACAGAGAGAGAGGGAAAGAAACATCCATGCCCTGAGCGGGATTCGAACCCGCAGTCAGGCACGCTAACCACTCGGCCACCTGGTCGGCAAGAGTATAGATATTAGGTGTTGAAAAATGAAAATTTAAGTGAGGAAAAAACGAGAACAGACTTGAAATTTGACGAAGCATCAAGGTGGAAAGCAAAATCGAAAGCAACTAACCAAATTGAGTACTAAATTAAACTAAACTTCAGATGAAACTCATGTACAAGCAAGATTCAATCTTACTAAGATTAAAATATGTTTCAGATCAGGTTGAATCATGCGATTGTTCAGTAATTTTCAAGGAGAATTAATTAACAGGAAAATAAAGTTTGGTATTAAGTTTACTTAAACGATAATATGGGCCAAAGCAGGTCAGTCTTTCTAATAGCATAACTCTTCAAAAGTAGAACACTGTATAACGAATTGGAAGAGTTTTCCTTCCTTTTGATCAAACTGAGTAAATCTGTGTAAACAAAAAATGCTTGATCTATATATCAAAAACGAAAAGTTCCACCAAGTACGGGTTTTGTAAGAGAAAAGTCGCTAAGCTTTAAGTGGATTAGGTATTTGCAACTCGAGAAGAAGTGAAGTAATTATGCCGAAATATTTTATTCAAGTCACATTCCTGAAAGCGAATACCAAGAATATATATATATATCTAATATATATAATTCTCTTACGTGGCTCCCAAATTTTGGTTGTATTTCTTTTCCACGGTGGCAACGTTTGCTTTGTTTTGTTTACGTTACTATTTCTCTTACACGGCGACAAAAAAGCCTCATTACAACTCCCCGAATGGCAACGCTAGGAAATCGACCAAAGATTGCAGCTAAAAATGTCACATTCCAAATCTAGCTGAGGTGTCTCAACATATACCGCTTTTAAAAACGGAAACTGAAATAACCAGAGAGCATCAGCTCAACACTTCCTAGATGAGAGCAGGCCTCAGCACGGGTTACCATAAATATCCTGTAGTAGTCCAAACGTAATGACATATTTCGTATTTTCAACCACTGCGCAGCTTAGTACCCTTAACGAAATGACATCTTTATAATTTTTCATCTACTGCGCAGTTAACTTCGTTAGATCGGACTACTAAATTGATCCGTGCTAAGGCCTTCCTTCTTCTAGGAGGTGTTGATCAGCTGCGACAATCTCATACTATTAAGCTAGGCAGAAGTGAGTAGTCTTTTTCGATAGATCTCTATTTTAGTATTTTGTCGAAAGCGCCTTTTTTCACGAATTTATATATTACGAATTTATTTGACGATTTTTGATTTATATCACGAATTATACTACAGCACATTTCTAATAGGTTTAACGAATTACACGTCATTTATTTGAATTCAAATTTATTTTAATGACTTAGTACTTACTAAAAAGAAGTAATTTTTTTAAAAAAAAAAGTTTTTATATGGATTTGAATTATTGTTTTGAATTTTTAGAATTTTGTGCATTTCCAATGTAAGTTCCTTTGCGAAGTTAGTAGCGAGAGAAGCGAGCTTGGTTTACGAAGCAAACCATATAAGATTGCGTAGCAATTTTCGGGGGTTGGCGAGTTACATTTTTGTTCGCTTCGCGAACAATATTAAAGTCGTTCCTGGAGATTAGGTGGCAATTTTTCTGCACCAACATCACATAGAGAGAATATAATAGGATTGTAAAATGTCAGAGATCCTTATTATCAGTATTATAAACTTATATAAAGCAATTTTAATACAGACAATATTATAAACTTATATAAAGCGAGGAAGCTATATTATTTAACACATTACTATAGGGTATTAGTCGGAGATTAATCTCCGTATCCGAAGCACGCGTGGCAGAGCCTAACTCGGGTAGACTATATTTGAGGGTGCCCCTTGATTCTCGCCAAGTTGTGATCGCCAAGCTGGGCGATGTTGAAACCCAATCGTGAATCTGATTGGATTAGATTTTAGCGTTATTTTTTGTAAATGCTCAACAGTATATGTAATTTCAGAGGTTCATTAGTTCTACGTTGGATACCGGCTTTTAAGATTACTTTTGCTTATGGTCAATAAGATCGAAGGTATGTTCGCAATCATAAAAAGGAACTTTAGATAAAAATGTCATCGGCAGTCCGGTACCACAGAAGACATTTTCGATTCGTATTTCGCCGAATTTATGTGGCGATGGAGGTACATAGATTCAATTCATGATAAATTTATACAGTATCTAACTACTACTAGAGAATTCGGTGCGCCTAAATCTGAAGATATTCAAGCTTAACGAAGAAGTGAGTTGTTGTTTTTTTTTCCTTTTCTTTCTATACTTACTCCATTAATTTTTGTTTCGATTCAAAATGTATTTTATTGGGTTTATTAATTTTGCTCATATCGGGTTCATTGTCATTATAATGTCTTGGCCGATGTTTTGTTGAAATTTTCCAATGTTTTATTGAAATATCATCATATTTTGGCAGCTATTCCTGTTACAACGGTGTTCCTCGCAAACAGGAATGGCGCCAAACATAAGTCGCCAATTTCGCCAAGTATATTTTCACCCCTATTTCAAATCATTGTTGATCTTATAGGATGGCGGAAGTTCCCTATATGGTGCTTCATCTCCCCCCCCCCAAGTAATTTAAATTTTAAACTGAAAACAATTAAAACCTAATGAAAAAAAACTTTAAAATATGGCAAGCAAACTAAAACATGTAATATTAATAAGTTGTTGCTGAGTAATATTTCAAAAGCAAAAACCATTTAAAGTAATTGCCCTATTAACTTCAATACTGTCAGCTGACAAAATATTTTAGTTTCAATCAGACAAAAAGCAAATTATATAATAAAAACATATTTAACTGAAATTCGACAAATTAAATTAAGCTATTTAATTTTTTGTCAGATTGAATACTAATAAAAAAAATGTAAAATTAAATAATTATGTTATCAATGATCAATAAACATTTTTGTCTGAATTGTTATAAAAAAATAAGGTGAAAGCAATAAAATTAAAAATTATTTACAATAGATCTCCGAATATTCACAAAACCTAGCTATGTAAATTTTTCATTGATTTTTCTTTTCACATCATTTTGTGTACCAATGATTTGCACTTTTAAGCATTATTTAAGAAATATCTCAAACAAATATGAACTGTTAATTAATATTTCTGGTTGAACGATTTTTTGAAAGTAAGTAAAAAACAGTTGAAAGTAAGGAAAAACAGTGATAAAACTAAAAATTATTTACAAAACCTCCTTATATACAACATTTTTTATCAATTTCTTTTCCATATGATTCGTTTTTATTTAAACTTCTTCGCAGAGCGTTCCGCTGTCGCGTATATTTGCGCTCTCAATTTTGATTGGCTGTTTTGTGCGTTACTAACCAGAAGTCTTTTGTGATTGGCTACGTGTTATCATTCCATTCTCTGCTTATATATATGTGTGTGTAGGGGGGTGGGTGCGTGACAGCAAAAAAAAAATTTTATTAACCAAGGACAATTTAATATATTATGCTATATACGTTCCTTCATTTTAAATTTAAAAATCAATTATACCCTTTCATAAAAAGTACGTACAGAATGTTTTAATTTACAAATAAAATAATGAAGCTGTTCAAATTATTATTCCTAAAAGCATCTTTAAAAACAAATATATTATTACAGACAACCACCCACCAACTAAAACCCATGTTAGTGAATATCACTAATAGTGAGAATGGATTATATGAAATCTTTCAAAGTTTTTTTTTTTGATAAAATATTTTAATACTTTTAGCCTGGATATGTTTGTTAGGTTTAAAAATTTCTTTTAACAAATAACATTTTTGTAGCATTATGTATTTTTTATCTATTCAATTTTCTTTTTAAAAAAATAACTGTATAAAGACATCAAAATCAAGGTTTAAATTAAATCACTTGTATTGTTAGCTGAACATTTGGTAATCGATCAAAATGCTGTTCTCTAAATAACACCTTTATCAGATTGTGACAGTCACAAAGACTATCAGTTTTGATGTCAACATGAGACCTAATTGAGACATTTAGTTTTCGCAGTGGCCTCACCATGTGACGAAACTGACATATTCTCTTCTCAACTGGGTCACCATGCGACAAAAATGTGACGAAATTGTGACATTTACGTTTCAATTGTGTGA